CACAAATTTACGCTATCAAATGACTACTGAAGGTCTCTTGAAAGACTATCCATAATCTCTAATCACCTCTCTGCTGGTTTCGCGAATGTTGCAGTTCTATTCTACACAGCCATTCACACATTCAGCCGAGCAATAAGTGCGCGCTGAGTGTGAAACTAAATTCAACGTGCTAATAAGGCACTCTCAAGAAAAAAAAAGCACATTGTTGGAATTACTAAAGTCTACACTATCGATTGACTGCTAAAAGCCTGAGCGAAAAGACGCTATCTCCAAGGGATTAACAAATGGATTGTGATGATGGTATCATATCCAATGATCCATACAGTGAACAACTGTCGAGCTGACATTTTGCAGAAGTATTGAATTTTATCAAAGCGTTTTCCTAGTTGACAGGATTTTGTAAATACTCAGTTTTTTGCATCATCTAATCTAATATCATATACTATGCTCTCACACTTTCTTCGCTTGATTTCTTTCCTTGCCTCCATCGTTCAAAAATATAGTCGTGTTTGCTTGTAGACTGTGAAGCGCTTGAGGTGAAGAACTGGGAACACCCTAGCACAGCTGTACCAAGATTTCAGGGCAATGATAATCGACTAGTAGTTGGTAATTCATAAAGAAGAAGAAAATTCTCAACTAGCAGCTGCTGTACACCTAAATACAAAGATATTCGTGGTTCATCGATACTATATGGAGAACGTTTGGCTTCGACACTAGTGTAGTACAGGACACTGAAAATTGCTTTCTCATAAATCTGTCTTGTTGACAGCTCTCAGGGCTCTAAAATGGTGCTGGTCAACTCCTTGCTTGACTGGTCAAACGGAGGCATAGAATTTGTCAATGTGGGTGCTTATTTGGGTCACGCAAACCTCTTAAAAGGTGTCTGTTCTACACCTAAAGATCTCTTATTATTACAGTGAGGCGGCAAATATTGAGTGGTATGGATCAGGATTGTGCAGTGTGCCTATAAAAGAGATAAATCTTAAGTTGTTAGAGAGATATTAATCATCTACACCACGTGATGCCACTATTTGAGCAGCGATTTTTCAAATAGCGTGTTTTTTATACTGGAGAGTAACCGAGTAATTTGTTGCGCATAATATTGACTGTGAAAGTTTTCCGATATTATCATTATCAGTGCATGGTTATTACAGGAACTTTCTTTTACGTGAAAATGAACAAGAGCTTCAGCAACAGGATCATCCCTGCAAAGCAGCAACTCATGATAGCGGCGAAATAAATAAACTCCACTGGTTAGTTTTAAGTTCGCTAGTTAGCAAGAATTTTTCCTTCTCTTTTGTAGTTCCTTAATTTCAAACGTTGTAACTATCTGAGTTGGTTTTTGAACCAAGTTGAGGTTTCTTGTAATTGTTTCCTTTTTTGGTTCAGCAAAGAGCCGGTTATCATCTCATCTGACAACGAGGACAACGCCGCTCATGCTGCTCACAAGAAGAGAAGTCGTAAATGTAAGTTAAATCTTAGTATATGAGTATTATTGCTGCATATTTGCAGCCCTTTGTTTCAGAAATGGAACGAGAATAGTAGAGTGACTATAGTTCGGATTTTCAGCGTTTCTTGTGATTGTTTCATTCACTGTCGATTTCTACCTGTAAACCTCTAATTTTAGAGCACATTGTGTGCAGAGTGTTTGCTGCCACGTCTTTTTCACTGTGTAAAATCTTATCGGCCTTCTAGTCTCACCACTAGCAAGGTGCCTTTCGGTTCACCCAATCCCTTGTGGGGGAGTATACTCCAGCATATAAGATAGTCGACGCCGAATTATCTACAGTGCCTTCAAAGTAGGAAGATCACCGTATACTGATGTGATTAGCAGTTGATCGTTTATGGTTGATAAATTAAAGAGGAACCTTTTTATTGAGTGCCACATCACACCTCATGAAAGGCTCAAGGTACGTTATCATATCATATTGTTTTAAGCAACGTCTGAAAAAACAGTCGAACATAAAGGTATTGATCCATTACTAGTCATTAGCAGTCGGCTAATAATCTAATCTTATCACTGTGCTGGCGGTGTAATAATTCGGCGTCGATTCCTCTATATGTAAAGGGTATACCCCCTACTAGAGATTGGCTAAACCGGAAGGTACCGTGCCCACTGATGAGGACGGTAGGCTGAAATGTGCATTTAGCACTGCAAGTGCCGTATCAGACCTCGTGAAAAGCATAAACTATTATCAGATTATTTAGTTTGAAGCGAACTCTTAAAAACAGTCGAATGGCAAGGTAAAATGGTGCTTCTCATTTACACGGCGAAAAATTAATACTCGTCCCCATTTGGTGGACAAGAAGTTTTCATAAAAGTGTTAGTAATCATTCAGAAGCTCGAATCATTGGCTGGCGTGATGCGTGACCGTTTTTTGAAACAAAAAATCTTTGTTATAAGGCTTCAACGAAAGTAACACATCTGCGTTTCAACACACTCGTTTTTCTCGCAAGACAGAGCTTCAATCGATCGATAGCGCAAGCTTTGAAGATTCCAGCAGTGTGTTAATTTCCTGAAAGAAACCGCATCTCCGCAGTGCAACGGGAAAATAAAATTAAGCACACATACGCGAGTATAGGTATTTTCAGATATTTTACGAGATGTGGGGTAGATGATTAGGGTGGATGCGGCAATTTCGACACGCAGTTAATAGAAATGCTTCTTCGCGGGTGTTATGGAAGTCTGATTTTTGTTTTTCAATTAGGAGCTGTTCCTTCGCTTTCAAGGATACTCCAGATCAAACGTCTGGCCCTAGTACTCGGAGACTTTCTCTACACATTCATGTGCTTTTCGTTCTTCTAGCAAAGTAACAGCTGAACTACGAGGTCGATGTAAAACATAATTTTATATTGAATTTGACAGCGTTATAAAAGGGTGTTTTGAAAACCGGCCACATAAAGGGCTGGCTAAAGGTTTAGGATTTTGAATGATTATTAAAACTCTGATAAAAAGTTGTTAACTAATTAAAAGAGTTGAGCATTCATTTGTAACCGTCTAACCGAAAAGAAACGTTGAAATTTTACCTTGTAGATCTCACTCTTTCTTTGACAGTTCTTCTTTGATTTGTTGTTCGCAGTGCGCGCAAGATGTGGAAGGAAAAAAGGACTTATTTAGTCGAAATTAGATATACCGTTGAATCAGGTATGTAAAAATCTTACAAAATTTGCCTTTGGGTAAGTAAGGTCCCCCACTCTATATGAAATTTGCCACTCTACATTATGAAATTTTGATGAGCTCGTTAGTCTCCGATAGTTTATCATTGGATGAACATCTCTATACCACTTATTTTTTATTTTCTTCCTTTCTATTTGCTCTTTCTACGCTTCTATATTGTAGCTAGTGCTACCAGTGATCCTCTTCCTACCCACGCGGTTTGAACTACTGGTAAATTCAATATTTGACAGTAACATACATCACAGCGTCGCGGGATTATCTGTTGATGGTTATTGGATGTATCGACACCAATGGAGGTCACATATAACTGATTTTTGTGGTACTTCTCTGTATACATATACATGTATGTCTTCATTTACTTATTTATCCAGTGCGCACTAATATCATGCGCATTTATTACATTGCAAATGTTTGGACAATCGACTTTCTAATAACATCGGTATCAAACTGAATTATCAATTTAAGTACGAAAACTTAGCTGTTTGGCTGACACCAGGTTGGCAGCAATCAGCAATTACAACACCAACGTCGTCTACGACCCTCGCGCTACTTAAACAACGAAGTTTTAATACTAAAATTAATCACATCTTTGTTTAGCCCTTTGCAGGCGATGAGAGTCAATGTGTCCCTCAGCTGGGCGGGCTATTTGGACGAGCTAAGAACGGTAGTGGTGCTTCAATGCAAACTCGGGCTAACAGAGCTCTCAGAGGAACATTGTCATCGAAAAAACGATGAAATCTCGCTGTTAAGTCTAGTTAGTGCTGCCTAAAATTTTTCCTTTCTCAAGAGAAAAAAATGTTGCTTTGTAGTCTTTGAATAGCCCGAAAAATTTTGACTTTAGTGCTGAGCTTATTGTTCAAAAATCATTTCACAGCATGTTCTAATGAAAAATAGAAGATGACGATTTGCAATAGCAATCCAGTTTTTCTAATTGAGAGCGAATTTTTTGGCATTATATAATTTTATTTTGATTCTCATGGAGTTCTCTGCTAAAGAAACTTGAAATATCATTGACAGAACTTTTGCAAACGTGTTTATAAAAAAGTAACGCTAAGCTGTCTTGAAATGCCCTACTTTTGTAAATAAATTCGGTTGCATGGAGCCGTATTTCAAGGATTGAGCTCGTGAGCCTTTGGTTTTTTCTAGAAAAAATTTTTGCGCCCGATTGTCAGTATTCATTCAATAGCTAAAATCAAGTGAATTCTAACAGTGTACTTTGTTTACCAAATGGCTTATTTTCTGCGCTGTAATAGTCGAAATAAAATTTTGTTTAACATTTAAGGCTTTCTCGCGGATAAAGATATTTCTATAAACAATTAATAGCTATTCGATGGTGTAATCTCAGCAATCTAAATTCTTTCTATTTTGACTGCCACTTGCAGTGGCATGATCTTGTAGTATACCCAATAAGTGGAGTGCTGTGCAAAAACGTTTGCGTGGGCCGGGATTCGAACCCAGTTCTCACTCTTTCCGGGAGCGTATGCTAGCCATTGCACTACCGACGCTCGTTTTTTGCACAGCACAAAACGAGCGTCGGTAGTGCAATGGTTAGCATACGCTCCCGGAAAGAGTGAGAACTGGGTTCGAATCCCGGCCCACGCAAACGTTTTTGCACAGTACTCCACATATTGGGTATACTACAAGATCATACCATTGCAAGTGACAGTCAAAATAGAAAGAATTCAGACTGATTATCAATATTCAATGTCTGTCAACACAAGTGGGTTCAATGCCGATAGCGGTTGCCCCGCCAGACCGTCGACGGTTGGCTGTTGGTAGACAAAGCGTTATAGCGTAAATAAAAGTGCTGTGCAAAAAACGAGCGTCGGTAGCGCAATGGTTAGCATACGCTCCCGGAAAGAGTGGGATCTGGGTTCGAATCCCGGCTGACACAAACGTTTTTGCATAGTACTCCACATATTGGGTAATCTCAGCAATTTTAAAAACTGAGCTTGTTTTTGGAGAGTTCTCCTAGGAGATGTGTGACAGGCGAAGGAAGATTTTGTTCCGCATTGCAAAAAATGGATTTCGCGACATTAGCCACAAGTCAGGGTGCCCTTAGCAACGCATCAACTAACAGCGAGACGTTATCTCTAACCACTGCAGTATAATAAAGAGTCTTTTCAAAAACATAGTAATTGTGGAAATCGTCGAGATTCGAGTTATCGAAGAATTATTAGAAGTCCAGCGGAAGAGTTAACTTCAGTGGGATATGTTTGAGTGTGAAAAATATTTTGATTTTTACTGTTAGAGCGCATTAAGGAAGCCACTTTGAGAATAAACAATACCATCAAAATTTTCAAGATTTAAACTACAGAATGGTTAATAAAACTCTGACATGATTAAGGAAACACATTTTCCCTAAAAGGTCAAAATAGGATGCGGGCATTGAAAATTATCCAAATTTGCGAAATCTAATCATCATTTGACTGTTGTTATAACACTCTTAATAGCTCTTTATCAAAATCAACTACACAATTAAAATTGCTGAGATTTTCCCTACCTAATGCGATTATCAATTACTTATAAAGAAAAAGCTTTATCCGTCGAAAAATGCTTGAATGTAAAACAGAGCATAGCTTTTCGACTGTTATAGAGAAGGACACAGACCATTTAAGAAGTAAAATATATCGTTAAAATTTACTTGATTTCAGCTATCGAATGACCATTGGAACGTTTTATACGTTTTCACCAAAGGGCCGGAACAGGGTGAAGAGAACGGGAAAACGTCGCTACACCTCCATTTCGTCTTTGCATGCTATGTCTGTGAATACAGAATTCGAACGAAATTATGCAGACTTGAGAAATGGTAATTTGAACTGCGCTAATAATCAAAAAATATCAAGAATTATCGATGAATTAGAAGTGCTTGCAACAATCAGCACGATTTTTGACGAACTAACAACCCTTATTTTCCAATTTTCAGCAAGTATGTTTAATTTTATGCACTTCGTGCAATAATGTATACGGAAATATGGAAGAAATAGAGGATAAATTTGATTGATTTTTAGCTTATTATGAACAAAATAGAAAAGGTTGATAGAGCTTTTAAATATAGTTTTTCCATGAACACTTGGTTTTTTTCTCCAGAAGTTTTGATTATGAATAGAGCAATTGAGTTATTTCTAAGAAGAGTAACCCTATTGAGGTCCGTTCTTTCACATTTGCCCCTATTCTTGGAACACAAACCCATTTGTTGTCGGGAAAACTGGAAATTTTTATGGACACCTACCACGTTACCCTTGGAGCAGGCTACGGTAGCCTCTCTTGCAGCCGTCCGAGGTGCCCGCCGGCCGAAAACGGCGCCGTCCGCAAAGAGATTTGGTTTAATGCCATTCTGAGATGCCGGAAAAGTCGAGCCTGAAGTGAATTGAAATAAAATTTCTAAGAATCTCATTTTCTCTAGGCTTTTAAGACTCAGTCTCATAACCGGCAAAATAATCTGCATCAAATATTATAAAGAACGCGAGTCAATATCAATTCATATTGATACAATTCTCCTCATGTAAGATTGGAAGTGCACTCACATCGGACTCTAAGTACCTTTTGAAGCACAAACAACCACAGGATCAATAATTTCCATCGTTTTAGGCTATACATAATCTCGACTCCTCAGTATTATCTTCATCAGATGGAGCACGATCGTCGTCATCCATTGCACCGTGTAATATATCCACAACTCGTCCCACATTCTACATGCCGCCTCAAATCACACCATTATCACAAGGTTGTGGCACCAGTGATCATGGGAAAATGTTGAGGTATGATTACTCCAATCTCAACCTTTGTTTGGATAATTTGATGTTCATGTCAGAGCAGTCATTCCTGTATGGTTAAAAGCATAGACCTCACCAATACGACTTTATAATTGACTCCCGCTTTCGATTCGCAACTTCAATCATGTCCCTTCATAGAACAGTATTGAAATGCGTAACGTTCTATTCAATTCGGGTCCAACAGTATCCTGAATATGCCGACGTCATGGCGAACGGTGCGGCAAACAACGGATTTTCAAGCGTTGCGATTGAAAACGCAGTCACAAATCAAAGTCAAATTTATCCGAGTAGGTTTCTCCCAATAAATTTCTTTGTCGGAGCGACTATCATGTCGGTATCGTTCTTCATAAAAGCAATGACTATTTCGGGAAACTGAAAATTTGAAATGGCTTCGTAGTTTCGTTTCGAATGTTTTTTTAAAACCACGCTCAAATTTTAATGTGCCTGCTGATTAATTTTTGAGCCATGAACTGGCCCATTATGTGCATTTGTACAGTCCAATACACGTGTATCGGCTTGGCAGCCTCATCAGTTTGGCAGGCCTTTCGTCTTTAACCAATCCTCTTTGGGACAGTGGTAACCCAACCCCCTTCATAGAGAAGGCGCAGACGTGCTGTTTACACCCGCCATTGAGTAAAAGTATCACTGATTGAGCAGTGTTTTACACTCGATTGCTCTTGGCTGGTACCGCCGAAAATAATGCCTTCCGTTTTGAGTGTTTTAAGACCACTCGCAGATTTCGTTGTCCTTGATAATTATTTTGCGTGACGATGCAAGGATGGAACACGTGTATCGCGCCATACAAGTGCCCACAACAAATCACATGAATGGCTCAAAAGTAATTGTCAGGCATATTGATTTTGCAGTATAATTGGACGAATGTTGTCACTCGAGATAATTCCAGTAAGACTAATGAGTCGAATTGTACGTGATATTTCTTTCTCCGAGACAATGCTAGTTTCTCCATGTAGTAATTCGCATATATTTAACTTAAAAAAGCAGAAACTGTTAGAGCTTCATCAGTCACTCTTTTCCTGGCATGTTTACCAGCCAACTATAAGGGCCTCAGCCGTAAGCGAATGCGGTAATTTCGTGAATTTTAATTATCAGTGTAATAATTGGCGCCAGGTACTACCATGTGGCGCACAATACCAGTACGATATGACACCTACGAGCCAGCAGCATATGAGCCATGAGTTGCCTTCCATTGGGATGAGAGTTCAGGTAAGATCATGTTATACGTTCAAATATCATCTTTTAAGAGCTGAGATAACTTTGTAATTTGCCATTTTGTACAGCGACGTTTTTGTTTCCAGATTTAACATTGTATCATCGTTTATCCTTCGTTTAGAATCACTCATGACCCGACGTCGCATACTGCGCTGTGCAATCATTTCCCATTCATTTCGTTTCTTTGAAAACAACATGCTCATAGATCTCGGAATTTGTTAGAGGGGTCAACTGCTGAATCGAGTTTTGCTAGGAATGTCATTGAATGGCTGTCTAATCGACTTCCCACAAAACTTTGAGATAGGCTTGCTAGGGTGTTGTTCACATTACTATATGCAGTTGCTAGTCTTAGTAAACAGGAGGCAATAGGTTGTGTAAAAAATTCGTATCGTTTTGTTTTTCTGATATGATTTTTGCAATGAAATTACACAATTTTGGTATCGCTCAATTGCGCATTTTTTGTGAACAATTTAGTGTACAATTTGCTTATAGTTGCTCAAAGATGGAGCTATTTTTGGAACAATTTCGCTTGCTATTCATGCAGGAATAGCGCGTTGTGGGAAATGCTAGTGAAGCGGGAGCACTATCTCCCCTACGCGTCATTCATGCATGAGTAACAAGCGAATTTGTTCCTAAGACAGCTGTGTCTCAAAGCAACCATAGACAAGCTACCACTTGCTCTTAAGAAAGTGCGCAGTTGAACGATACTAAAATCACGAAGTTTCTTTGCAAAAAGCAGTTCTTTTTAGTTATAAAGGGACAAATGATAAACCGATTGTACTCGCCGGAGAGACTTTTTTAAAGGAATGTTAGTGAATATTCTAAAGCTGAGGTTTTGGCTACAGCCACATGTGGTCGATTTTCGAAAAGGTTTTATAACGCTATAGAATTTCAACTGAAATTATGTCTCAGGCGCGTATAATTCTCGCCGGACAGAGCCTAATCATAAACTACCAGTAATCATTCGATAGCGTAATGTTTGCTGATTCCAACACATGCCTACTTTATGAAAAGACCATTTCTCTGCAATGCAGAAAGGAAAATAACAATGATTCTCATGTGTCAGCCATGTGGTCTTTGGTCAATTGTAGGCCGCTAGGCAGGCAGCAATGAGGGTTCCGCAAAAATCAATAGATTTTTGACAGGTCATATGATGGTGCGAATCTTCGTTATTCAAATAGGAATTGTTGCTCCGCTTTGGAAGAGAATCTCCAAATAAAAGGTATGGCTTTGCTACATAAGAAACTGTAAATACTTATATTTCGCCATGAATACTGATAAATCAGTCATTATTATCATCGCGTTGATGGAATTCAATAGACCAGAATGTTCTGATTGCTTTCAGCAGTTACTTGAGATGTTGAGATTTAACGAGATCATCTCTACACGTTCATATGCTTGATAATTGATCGATAATTGCGCAATCCCCATTGCTGTTCGCCCAGCGGTCGGTGAATTGGCCAAAGACCACCTAGCTTGCGCATGTAAATCAATCACACCTGCTGCGTTGCAGGTAAACGGTTTTCTCAGTATATGGGCACAGCGTTGGAATTATCCAACATTACGCTGGCGAATGATTACTAATAATCTATAAAAAGAGCTGTCTGGCGATAAATGTGCCTGTTTAAAACACAAGGGATATCCTTATACTAAAACGTCAAAGAAGGCTTTTTCGAAAACTGGCCATGTGGGGATACAGCCAGAAATGTAAGCTTTTGAATAATTGCTATCACTCCTATGAAACTTCCTGTCCAGCGAATAAGGTTGGTTTTTCATTTGTCCCCTGCCAAGATTTGTCAGTAGGCCAGATATCATTGCTGCTAGAGGGAGTGTGCATATTAAAGAGTTAGAAAATGAAAAAGCGCGGAAATGTCTCCGAATTTATATT